CTGAGTTTTCAGTGAAGGGTTACAGGTTACAAGCAGTATAGGTTCCCATTCAACAATTTCTACACAAATTGTTCAGTGACATTGTTTACATTCTTCACAATGTATGAACATTCTCAGTACTTCCTTTCTGGTTGTTCCATTTCCATTAATCTAGTTTTCCTGCTCCCATACATTCTCATCTTTGTTTTAAAGTAATTGTTGACTACTTGGTCTCATATAGATGATTTTCTAAAGGAGCACAGTACTCATAGGTGACATTCATTATTTTGCAAGCCGTCTGTTACTTAGCTAAAAGGTGACCTCAGGAGCTAGTTTTGGTTCAAGGTTTAAAGATTATCTCAGGGCAATAGCCTTGAGTAGCCCTCCAGTCCTAATTGGTCCAGTATGTCTGTTTTTTCAGAAATTTGAGGTTCTCTTCCATATTTTTCACCCATCCCATCAGGGCCCCTATATGCAGTTAGATGACCTGGATCTAGATTCTGGCTTTACAACTTATTGTTGTTGTTAGGTGCTGTTCAGTCAGCTCTGACTCATAGCAACCCTGTGTGCAACAGAGCACAACACTGCCTGGTCATGCACCATTCTCATAATCCTTGCTATACTTGAGCCCATCATTGAAGCCACTGTGTCAATTGATCTTGACACTTCCCTTTCTCCATGACCCTCTACTTTCCATGACCCTCACTTTACCAAGCATGATATCTTTCTCCAGGGAATGGTTCCTTCTAACAACATCACCAAACGAGGTGAGACAAATTCTGGCCATTCTCACTTCAAAGGTGCCTTTGGACCGCATTTCTCCCAGGACAGATGTTTGTTCTTCTGGCAGTCTGTGCTATTTTCAGTATTCTTCACCAACACCATAATTCAAAGGCATCAACTCTTCTTCAGTCTTCCTTATTCATTGTTCAGCTTTCACATGCATATGAGGCAAATAAAAATACCATGGCTTGGGTTAGGCGCACCTAAGTTTTCAAAGTGACGTCTTTGCTTTTCAATACTTTAAAGAGATCTTTTGCGGGACATCTGCCCAGTGCAATATGACATCTGATTTCTTGACTGCTGCTTTCACGGGTGTTGACTGTGGATCCAAGGAAAATGAAATCCCTGACAACATTCTTTTCTCCATATTGTAATGCTGCTTATTGGTTCAGTTGTGAAGATTTTTGTTTTATGTTGAGGTATAATCGATACTGAAGGCTGTATAGTCTTTGATCTTCATCAGAAAGTGCTTCAAGTCATCCTCACTTTCAGCAAGCAAGGTTGTGTCATCTGCATACAGCAGGCTGTTACTGAGTCTTCCTCCATTCCTGATGCCACGTTCTTCTTCATATAGTCCAGCTTCTCAGATTATTTGCTCAGCATACAGGTTGAATAAGTATGGTGAAAGGATACAACCCTGATTCACTCCCTACCTGATTTTAAATCTTGCAGTATCCCCTTGTTCTGTTCACATGACTGCCTCTTGGTCTATGTACAGGCTCCTCATGAGCACAACTAAGTGTTCTGGAATTCACTTTCTTTGCAATTTTGTCCATAATTTGTTATGATCCACACAGTCAAATGCTTTTGCATAGTCAACACAACACAGGTAAACATCTTTCTGGCAGTCTTTGCTTTCAGCCAAGATCCACCTGGTATCAGCAATGACATCCGTCATTCCATGTTCTCTTCTGAATCCAGCTGGAATTTCTGGAACTTCCCTGTCAATATACTGTTGCAACTGTTTTGGAATAATCCTCAGCAAGATTTTACTTGAGTTGGTATTAATGATGTTGTAAGATAATTTCCACATTCTATTGGAGCACCTTTCTTTCAAATGGGGACAAATACTAATTTCTTCTAGTCAGTTGGCCAGGTAGCTAGCTGTCTTCCAAATTTCTTGGCATAAACAAGTAACTACCGTCAGCACTGAACCTGTTTGTTGAAACATCTCAATGGGTATTCCGTCAATTCCTGGAGCCTCGTTTTTCACCAATACCTCAGGGCAGCTTCAACTTCTCTCTTCAATACCATTGTTTTTTGATCATATGCTACCTTCTGAAATAACTGAATATCCACCAATTCTTTTTGGTACAGTGACTCTGTGTATTCCTTCCATCTTCTTTTGATGCTTCCTTCATCATTGAATATTTTGCCCGTAGAATCCTTCCGTATTGCAACTTGAAGCTTGGATTTATTCTTCAGTTCTTTCAGCTTGAGAAATGCCAACTGTGTTCCATTTTGCTTTTCTAACTCCAGGTCTTTGCACATTTCATTACAATACTTTGTCTTCTCAAGCTGCCCTTTGAAATCTTCTGTTCATTTCTTTTATCATATATTCCATTTGCATTAGTGATTCTGTGTTTAAGAGCAAGTTTCAGAGTCTCTTCTGACATCCCTTTTGGTCTTTTCTTACTCTCCTGTTCTTTTAATGATGTTTTGTTTTCTTCTTGTTTGATGAACATCCTACAATTAGGATGTCATCCCACAATTCATGTCATCCCACAATGCATCTGGTTTTTGGTCACTGGTGTTCAGTGCATCAAGTCTATTCTTAAGGTCTCTAAACTCAGGTGGGTTATAATCAATGCTGTATTTTGGTTCTCGTGGACTTGTTTTTTCTTCAGCATAAACTTGAACTTGCATAGAAGCAATTGCTGATCTGTTTCACAGTCAGCTCCTGGTCTTGTTTTGATCGAAGATACTGAGCTTCTCTGTTGCCTCTTTCCACAGATGCAGTCAATCTGATTCCTGTGTATTCCATTTGGTGAGGTTCACGTGTACAGCTGCCTTTTATGTTGTTGAAAAAAGCAATGAATAAGTCATTGCTCTTGCAAAATTCTATCATTTGATCTCTGGTATCATTTCTATCACCAAGGGCTTATTTTCCAACTACCAACGATTCTGCTTTGTTTCTAACTTTCACATTCCAATCACCAGTAATAATATGTCTTGATTGTATGTTTGGTCAATTTCAGACTGCAGAAGTTGGTAAAAATCTTAAATTTCTTCATCTTTGGCTTTAGTGGTTGGTGTGTACATCTGAATAATAGTAGTATCAACTGGTCTTCCTTGTAAACAAAGTCTATTACCATCACTGACAACATTGTACTTTAGCACAGATTTCGAAACATTCTTTTTGACAATGAATGCAACACCATTCCTCTTCAGTTTGTCATTCTTGGTGTAGTAGACCATATGACTGTCAGATTCAAAATGACCAATACCAATCCATTTCAGCTTACTAATGCCTAGGATATCAATCTTTAGGCATTCCATTTAATTGTTGACAACTTCCAATTTTCCTAGATTGACACTTCCTAAATTCCCCATTCCAATTATTAATGGACATTTGCAGCTGTTTCTTCCCATTCTGAGTTGTGCCCCATGAGGAAATGGAGGTCTCACAAGCTACTGCATCTATGTCATTAAGGTCAACTCTAGTTTGAGGAGGTAGCTCTTTCCCAGTCATATTTTAAGGGCCTCCCAACCTGAGGGGCTCATCTTCCAGCACTATATCAGACAATGTTTCTGGGCTATTTATAAAGTCTTCCAGTAATATATTAGATTGTGTTTCACTGCTATTCACAAGGTTTTCACTGGCCAATTTTTTCAGAAGTAGATGGCCCTACGCTTCTTCCCAGTCTGGAAGCTCCACTGAAACCTATCCACCAGGGATGACCCTGCTGGTATTTGAAATACCAGTGGCATAGCCTCCAGCCTCACAGCAACACTCAAGTTACCACAGTATGATAAACTGATAGATGAGTGGTGGTACTACTTATTAGCTACTTATTACTACTTATTCATTCTACCCCACAGATCTGCAGAGACAGTTAAGAACAAACACATATCAAATGCCTGGCACATAATGGGTGCTCCATAGACATGTTATTAAGATCACCAGTTTAATATTAACTTGTAACCAGCTAGTACAAGAGAGCAGTGTAAATATCTAGGCTTCCAGAGTACTTGGGATCTTTCTACTGGCTCTACTGTCCTATCTCATACCTTTTTGAATCCCAACAACTCTTCCGACTCCAGTGTGAAAACAGGATGTGTAAATATGACCTGGTGCACTCTGGGGGGTAGAGGCAGAAGGCAGTGCTCTGCTTCTAGCTGTTCTACAAATCTTTTACAAAAGGCTTTTTGCTTTTATGGTCCTGCACTTACCTGTCTGCACCAGGTACTTGATACTAACTTCATCAACTGGGAAAAAGGCAGCAGTTGCTCCATACTCTGGACACATATTGGCAATAGTAGCTCGGTCAGCAATGGACAACTGGACTACTCCTGGTCCAAAAAACTCGACAAATTTGCCTACTACCCCAACCTGGCGGAGATGCTAAGTAGAGAAACAAAAGAAAAGTTTGAGACACTTAAAAGCCAAACTTCACAACTCATAAATTAGCCCTATGAGTAAACACAAACAACATATTAGCTCAGTACTTATTTTAGTATTTTTGAAAATAACGCCTAAAAAGTAATACCAACTAAATGCAACGTGGTATCCTTAGTCGGATCTTGGAAAGAAAAGGAATGTTACTGAAAAAACTTTGTGAAGTCTGTAGTTTAGCATCATACTATCACTACATGTGAATTTGTTAGTTTTGATAATGCATCACTGTATTGTAAGATGTTAACAGGAAGCTGGGGGAAAGAAATATAGGAACTCTTTGTGCTATTATGGGCACCAACACTTGTGTAAATATAAAATTATATCAAAATAGCTTTTATAAAAAAAGAAAAAAAAGTAACGCTCAAAACACAAATAACAATAAAAGTTTTTCAAAATGATAAACATCTCTTTCTCTCTCTAATGACATCATCAGAAGTTTCTAGAAGTGCTAAAAATTAAATAAACTCTTTCAACTTAAATAAATTATTACTCAAACTAGTTGAATAAGTACATGATTCTGGAACGGAAAGAATTTCTTTGGATTGAGTTCTGTGAAAGTTGTCACTGATCTATGTTCCTAAACTATGAAACTTGACGATGTTGCCTAAAGAATAGTTTCTTTTGGTAAATAAACAATTAAAATTACTTCGGACAGTAAGTCTTTACTTAATTATTTTTACTGATATTTCAGAGCATTTAAAAGCTTCAGAACTCACTGGGGATTTTAACTGTGTTTATCTACTTTATGAAGATAACTTGATATCAAGGATTTAATTCCATTGTTTCAGCAAAACAAACAAACAAACAAAACACTATGAAGTACAGTTCTGCTCTAACACAGATGAGGTTTCCGTGAGTCATACCTGATTTGACAGGAACTGGTTTTGCTGTGTGTGTTTTAAGTACAAGTAAAATGTGGCCAAAAGGCCCAAAAAGTCTGAATCCCCACATCTTTTCCATACAAGCCATCAGCCAGGACTGGGCAAATGACTGACCTTGCCTGCCATGAGGCCAGTCTAATGAACTGTGGACAACCACAAGGACAGCATTTTTTCCTCATGTCAGACTCTGCCAAATTTTGTGGGCAAGTCTTATTATCCCACTTTTGAAGGACAGCGCATAGCCGTTTGTAGTGAGCCAGAGTGTTCAAATAAATCCAATACTGAATTCCACAGGATCAAATCAAAGACAAACTTTTTTTTTTGGTCCTTTAACATTATAGCATCCATCAAAAAGACCTCAAGTCTCTGAACTACATAACCTGGAAAAATTATGTCTATAATAATACAAATAAATCACTTTTTCAATAGTCCTCAAAAATGGAATTGCTTTCTTTTTGTAAAGCAAGCAAATTACAAAAAATGACTATTTCTTATAAGAGCTAAAGAAAAAGAAAAAAACAGCAACAGTATTTTCCAGCTTGGAGAAATATCTGCTATGATAATGTAACATAATACAGAGAAGAGACTTAAAAAAAAAACCCAAACATTATTCATGGAACTAATTTGCTATTTACATTTAAGGAAGAACTGTGTGGAAAAAATGTAGTTAAAGTATAAACACATACATGGGAGTGAGTCTCACAACCTCAGAATAGTGATATTTCCAGGAATAGAAAGAATGGCATTAGCCTGAAATATTACATTTTATTTCTTAAAAAATAAACAGAGAGCAAGAGCTCTAAAGCAAATAAGTCCAAATGTTAATATCTATTAAATTTAAAGAATAAGTAAATACTTAAGTAATTTCAATTTTTGTATATATGAATTATTTTGTAATTAAAATTTTTTTCAGAAAAAGATCCACGTAGCAACAGAGGGACAAAAATGAACAAAATCATCTAAGACTTAATCACAGAATATATTCCCTTTATCTACACTTCTTTAAAAATAATCATCACAGTTTCCTAGCATTTCTAGAGACACAGAAACCAAGAAGAGACTCCATCATGCATTTCTTCTCTTTGTCATTGGACTTTTCAATGCCACCGAAGAGGCAGCATGTCGTTACCTTGGTAATGGTAAGCACGATGTCAGTGGACGTTACCAGTGGGTGGGGATTGCCCATCAGCCGGTAGCCAATCACCTGAGGAAGCACCATGCTGATTGGCTGACCCAGCATGACAGCTTCAGCTTCAATACCACCTACACCTGCAATGAATGGCATGGTCAGAACAATGCTTTCATTATTCCTGTCATTATTTACTCCAGGAGTAAATTCAGTGCCATCACAAGTAATGGGCCCAGCTGCGATGTTTTAGTAGTATAGAGTTGTTTCTATAAAGAGCAGTTATCTTTTCTTTATTTTCATCTACAGAATGTTTAACGACTGTTTCTCAAAGTATGGTCTCCCAAATATCTGTATCAGTATTCCCCTGGTACCACACAAAACAGACACCTGTATCAGAATTCCCTCAGTGCCACACAAAATGGAATGTGAGGTTGAGGAGTCTCAATTTTTAAACAAACACCCACAGGTGATTGTCACTAATTCTAAACTTCCCTACCCACTATTCCAGTTCATTTTTCAAAACATAATTACATCCACTCTTCACTGACATAGTTAGGTTCCAAAGACCAAGCTGTTAACATGAAATCAGAATTATGCAAAAATGGTGAATGACCACATCAGATCACAAAATGGAGGATGATGACATTGTTACATAATTGCCATATCACATCACTACATAACTTCCAAATTACATCATTCCATAACTGTCCAATTATATTATATAATTGCCAAACCACAGAGAATCATGGCCCAGCCAAGATGACACATAACCTTAATCATCGTAGCCAGTATCACTCTTGCCTCGCACCATGGCATTTGTTAATGCCAGATGCACATTGTTAACACACAAAATAATCAGAGAGACAGTAGATTTTTTACTATTATTGTAAATGCAAAATGTTGGATAATGAGAGAGTCAGTAAGTAAGGAGTAGGTGCACTGAGTGCCTACTAGGTGTGAGGCATTTTTCCAGGTACTGGAAATAGAGCAGTGAACAAAACAGATAAACACACCTCTCTGATTTGCCACTAGGACATAATGGCATCTAAATAGGAACTTGGAAGAACACTCACCCCAACCGAGAACACCCAAACCATCGATCATGGTAGTGTGTGAATCTGTGCCCACGAGGCTGTCTGGATAATAATATCCATCCTTATCAAATGCCACTCTTGCTAAGTATTCCAAATTCACCTGGTGGATGATTCCTGAGCCAGGGGGAATAATCCGCATGTTGCAAAAAGCCTGGGAACCCCACTACAATTGAAAAATGGAAAGAAAACTATGAATAACTGATGCACTTCTACCCCATCTATCTCTTTGGCATCTCTCCCTGATGTCCCACATACATAACCAATCAGTGGAACCAAGCTCAGTCCATACCTTTAAAAACTCAAATCGTTCTCTATTTCTTTCAAATTCCAGGTCTTGATTCTTCTGCAAACTGTCTGCCCTATCAGAGAGAAAAATTAAATTTATAAATTTTAAGCCTTAAAATGTTACTGGTAATTTCATTGGTGATGAATACACAAAATAACAACTGCAGCTGCAGGCTTTCTGGGTGGTAGTATGCTTTTCATTTATAAATGTGGGAAAACCCATTCACCAATGTTAGGAAGGAAGGGTTAAGTGGAGAAAGTAAACAGAATAATTATTATCTGGTTCAAGTGATTCCTACAATGCCTTAAACTTTAAACATGGTAGGCTGGAAACACAAATTCAATTTACATTAAAACGAATCTAATCATGAAGTCTGATTCTTAGGAACAGACTCAGACATATGAAGACAATAAGAGCTGAGACATTTTTCAAAAAACCTCATTTCTGGACCCCTTTCTCATCTATGGACTTGTTAGAAACTTGTCTGAGCTGGGCTGTGTCTGGGCTGACATTTTAATCTGTGTATGTTGGGAGATAGGGAACCAGTCATTTATAAAATCACAATTTCCTACCTCTAGGGACAGAGGTTTCGATGAGGATGGTAGCATCTAAGAATACCTGCAAACCCCAGATTATATGCTAAGGTTCACTCAAGGTAATTCAGTTAATCAGAAATGACACTGAAAATGAAGGGCATCAAGAAACTCTTCCCGGATTTTTATAAAGAAACTCCAATGTTTTGAGTCAAGATAGAGCAAGTCACAGTCACAACTCTTCAAGTACAGCACACAGAGGGTACTCAAAAATTGTATACCATAGATTGAGCAAGCACAGGAAAGGATGGTAAAATTAACAGCCAAGACCCAAGTCAGACTGCATTAATTAACATAATAGCTACATTTACTGACATTACTAGGAACCAGCAACTATTCTAAATGCTTTACATTTATTTTTTCATTTAATCTCCCTAACAACCGTATGAGTTAGGTGTAACTAATATTTACATTTTACAAAAAAGGAAACAGAAACAGTGAGGTTAAGAAATTTACTCCATCTAGATGCCACGATGGGTCTCTCCTCATCCAGAGCAAAGAATGAAGAAAACCAAATATGCATGGAAACAGTTAGTCCAAGGGCCTAGTACAGCATGTGATCCTCAGCCTATATAATTATGAGACCAGAAGAACTAGATGGTGCCCAGCTACCACTGTCAACCACTCAGAGGGGGATCTATGTAGGAGATCCTGGATAGAGTGGGAGAACAATATGGAACAAAAAGAAAGTGACCAGGCTTGCTGGTCTGATAAAGCCTGGTAGAACCCGTGAGACTATGGCCCCTAGCTGCCCTTTAGGTCTGGAACTGAACCCACTCCCATGCCTTTCAGCCAAACAAAAGATAGGCATATGAGCTGAACATTTACATTAGGTAGACATACTTCTTGGAGCGATCAATCATGGGAGAACACAAAGGCTGTGTATGCACAGGGAGACAGACAGCTCAGGGGGCAGGAATGTATGGGAGGGAAAGACACAGTGAAGAACAGGTGGCTATGGGGAAAAGTTGGAGGAGAGCTGTTACACTGTGGAAGACTGCAGTCAATGTCATGCGACAAAGTGTATGTGAACTGCTGTATGGAAGATGAATTTGTTGTATAAACTTTCACCCAAATCACATTAAAAAAAAAAAAAGAAAGAAAGAAATTTGCTCTAGTTCACAAAGTAGTAAACTGTAGAACTGGAATTCAAACCCAAGCAGTCTGACTCCAAAGTGAGTACTCTCAATTCCTATACCATACTGCCTCTTGAAGCAGAAATGGTGGCAGCAGTAATAGTAGCAACAATAATAATAGTAGCAGTTAAAGTATAACATTACGTCCATGCTCTAAGCGCTTTATACACATGGACTAATCCAATCATAACAGTTCCTCAAGTAGGTATCACTCAGTTCCTAGTCATGGCAAACCATGCATGTAGAACTGTGCTCCACTGGGTTTTCAATGGTTGATGTTTTAGAAGTAGATCACCAGGCCTTTCTTACAAGCTTTCTTCTGAACTTTATTATTAAAAAGGCAACTCATCTGTGCTTACTACACTTACCAACTAAATTAAATTATGTGTCCATACTTCTAAACTAATGTTTCTTGAATGTATACTTAAATACAATATTTAGATTCAATAATAATAATAAAGAACTAAAGAACGAAAAAAAAAAAAAAAAAGAAAAAGAGAAGGCATCTCTATTATTTCCACCAGTACAGGGGAGATTCTTAATTGTATGTAACCCCCATCCCTAATGCCCCCATTTCTCCTCTTGCTATATTTTGAGCACTTCTGGCCTCTCCTAGACATTATCCCCTGTCCTCTTCCCTCCAACACCGAGAAGGATGTCAGAGGTGCTAACAGCAGAAGCAGGGTTGGAAGGGGAGAGTTTACCCCAGAGAATGCTGGGAACATCAGTTTGAGATAAACATCATATTCACAGGACAAGCAAAAGCCAGAAATGTTTACGCTGTTTTAATGTAGAGTAACTCCAGGTAGAAATCTATTTATTCATAAGGAAAACAAAACAAAACAAAACAAAACACCCAACATCATTTATGCTAAAGTTGGCTCAATTAGCTTACTTCTAGTTATTAGCATTTTTCTACCACTCAGAACTTGCCTAAATTAGCCCAATCTAGTGAGTGAGCTTTTAATAAAGTTTCCAAATGTGAATGGCCTTGCAGACTAAAGAGGAAATTTCTTCTTAGTTACATAACTTGAATTCAGATTTGGACAGAGTTCAAAGTTTCTGAGAACTACATTTAACGGTGCTCCAAAAATTCACACAGAGTACTTACAGAGGAGATAGTTTTCACACACATGAAATCTGGTCAGAAATTATTGGGATATTCTTGTTGGGATTAAAAACATTAAAGGTTATTTCTGAGATAACTTTGTGAAACATTTAAATAATGTGTTAGTCATACAGTGTATTTCCAAGGAGGGTATGAGGCCAACTGATATTGTTAAAATCAGGCAAAGAGCTTAGAGATATTTAAGGAACTGAAAATACTTCCCGAGTTTCTCTAACTCATATCTGGAAACAAGTCCACAGCACACAGTTCCATGAGGGCTGAGACATACCACATTAATTCCTTACAAAAATGAAGAAAGGAACTGGGAGGTCAGATTGCAAAACCAAAACTCAAGAAATAAAAACAAAACACTACCAATGAAAATACTTCTAACAGAAATGTTCTCTCTAATTAGAGGGGGAAAAAAAAGTGTTTCCTAGATTTGGATATCAATCTGTATCAAAGTTCACTCTGGACTTCTCTGTCTTCATAATAGTATTTTCAGTGCTACAGTGTCAATGAAAAAGGTCCAAAAAAAAAATGAAACTGAAAAAAAAAAATCACAGCAAACTTGGCGATGAGACCTAGTTTATTAACTGCTTAGCAGCCAAGGGCTCTTTAAATTTTGAGTCAATGGAACAGACATTAAAACAAATACAGTTTTGTCTCTATCAGTGTTTTCACCTTCCAGGTCAGCAAAATGAAGGTAAACTCATCAACACCAATGAGAATTGCCAAGAAAGATGAAGTTTTTGTGAGGCTACTTTTATAACTTCTGAAGTAAAAATTTAGGAAACATTCTTACCTTCAAGTAGGCCAATATTTATATGTGTGTGAGTGTATTTTTAATTCTTCCCTTTGAAATTAAAACATCAAATTGAGCTTATGTGATATAGGGGGAGGGGGAAGACATGTTGCCTAAAAGTGAGTTTAGAGTCCCAAGGGAAGGGAAGAGTCGGCAGGTGTCTATTCTGTTTGTTCCAAGAATACAGTCTACTCAGGGCACAAAAAAATAACCCAAACCTAACTCACTACCATTGAGTCGGATCTGACTCATAGCAACCCTTCCTTGGGTTTCTGAGGTGGTTTCACTATGGAAGTAGATCACCCAACCTTCCTTCCAAGGAGTAGCTAGCTGGTGGGTTTGAACCACCAGCCTTCTGGTTAGCAGTCAAATGCCTTAGACACTATGCCACCAGAACTGCCATTAAGGGCACAAAGGAAATTGAATTTATCTGGCTTGGATATTGGCAATATTAATTTGAGAATGACCAGTTTCTTCTACATTACTCTTGAAGCTGTATGGAACCAACTTTAAATTCCAAAGGAAGCAAATTTTTTTTTTTTTTTTTGTAGTGGTTTATTTCATTTTCTTAGATGACTTTGAATTATTCAAAATGATAGCTTCTTACTATTAAACTAAATGAAGACTAGTTAAAGCCCCTGAGATAATCACCGAGCAGTTTGGCACCTCTCTTTCCAATCTTTTAATCTCCGTACAACTTTTCATCTAGCTGAGAACATTCTATACATGGAATTTAGTTTCTCACTCATTGAGCTAAGAAGTGAACATGTTCTAAGTGTTATCAAGCACTTTATAAATATAACTGGAAAGTCATTTTAAGGATATGCCATAATTTAATAAAAAATTATCTTGTATTGGGCCCTTAGAATGCTTCTAGCTTTTCACTAATAATAGTGAAAATTATTTATAAAAATAATACTTTAATAAACATTATCAACCATAAAGTTTTTTCTGAATTTCAGATACCTACTAAGGGTATTTTTGGAAGTTCCAGGTCAAAGAGTAGGAAAAATGATAAGGTTCTTAATACATATTAAGGTGTTCTGGTAGCACAGTGCCTAAGGCATCTTACTGCTAACCAAAAGGTTGATGGTTCAAACCCACCACCCACTCTGTGGAAGTAAGACTGGGCAATCTACTTCGATAAAGATTTACCCAATGTGGGGTGCTATGAGTTGGAATAGACTCGATGGCAGTGGGTTTGGTTATTTTGGTAATACATATTGCTTTTATTTTTCTAATTTACAGTGCTATTAGCAGTATATAAATGTGTCTCCCTCACGACACCTTTATAATTAATAATGTTTACTATCTAATCTTAATGATGTTGATAAGAGAAAATGGTATCTCAGAGAATTCATTTACTTTTTTATTGCTTGTAAGATTGAAAGGTTTTTATATACAGTTTACCATGTCCATTTACTTTTATTGCAAAATGTTTATTTTCCTTTATCCATTTATCTGTTGGGTGATACCATTTTTCTAAATGAATTACACAGACTTTTTATATATTAAGGATGCTAACTCTCATATTTGTTGCAAATATTTTTCTAGGTCTTGCTATTATTATCTTTGAAGTTGTTATGTTACAGATCTTTTCTGTTTTTGTTAAAAATAACACAACTCCCCATTTTTAAATGTAGAAAATGCTTCCCAATCATGACATTTGAGACATACATACTTTTATTTTCCTCTAAATTGTTTTCATGATTTCACTTTTCTAACATTAATGCTTTAATTCATATAAACTGCCTACTCTACCAAAAAGTTTATTTTCCCAGGTTTGTATATGCAACGGTTATTTCTTTCTCCACTGACAGCTGATAACTTTGTCAAGTCATACTTCCAGGTAAAGATACCAGCCTCCTAGTGCCTCATCAACTGCCCTGTATCCAAACCCTTGCTGTGTAACCTTGTAGTTCCTTCCAGAAAAGATAGAGTATACTTCTTTACCCTTTGACTATGGGCTTGGCTATGTGACTTGCTTTGGTGAATGGCAATGTGAACTACAGGTGATCCTGCACCAGCCTTGAGCTATGCCTTAGAGATACTGCATGTTTCCACTTGCTCTCTTGAGCCTCTGTGATCACCAGATAACCGCTTTCTCTTTCAATATAAAATACATACAAACAGAATAGTGCTGTACCAGCTGACCTGCAGATGTGCAGGGCAGTAGAAAGCAAAGTTGACCCAGCTGCTGCAGCATGAAGCTGCCCACCTGCCTTCATCCTAAATCAGCCGACCTCCTATTCAATGCATAGATGTGTAAGAAACAGATGCTTGCTGTTGACTGCTATTGAGGCTTTAGGGTTGTTTGTTATACAGCAACTGCTGATATTTACACCTGTCTTTACACTGAAATCTTTGTTATTTTGGTTGGGGCAAACCCTGCTTTTAGCAGAGAATGACAAATGGTAGAGTTTCTACTACCTCATTTCCTGTCTATATGATTTTGATTCAAAGGGCAAAACCTACTGATTGCTTTTTGTCTCAATTTTAACCTCACCATCACTTCTTCCAGGCCCTGCCAAATCAATGAGAGCTTCACCTGGATTCCATTGTTACAAATTTTTAATGCCTTTTTTTCTTTCTATGCCTTTTTTGTATATCTTAAAGGAGATGGGGAACATATCACAAAGTTTAATATATTGCTGCCATTTTAACCCAAAGAGAAACTCCCAATACTACTAATTTAAAGCAAAGACTTTTGGAAAATGGTATTTAGGGAGAAAAGCTCACTAAAATAAACTGAGTCAGGAAAATTGACCATTACTGCTAGATTCAATCTCTACGAATTTAGATAGTCATCTCTTCAATGGGACAGGATTATAAATGCTACATGTAATAAATGGTTTTGGCCATTTTGAATCAGCAAGAGATCACTAAAAAGACAAGAAAAGAAGAGAAGACCAAAGTGGATGACAGAAGAGACTCTGAACCTTGCCCTTGAGCGGAGAATAGCT